CAGATAGAGCACATTGTTTTTTAGACTTACACGTTTTTGTGCTTGGGTTTCAATTATACAATGGTCAAATACCCATCCCTCCACCAGTGCCCATTTCCCACCACCACGGGTCCCAGCATCCCTCCCATCCCCCATACCCCCTGTCCCACCCTGCCTCTGTGGCAGGGCATTCCCTTTTGTTCTCTCTCTCCTTTTGGGTGCTGTGGTTAGCAAAAGAGGCATTGAGTGGCAATCATGTTTGGTCTATAGTCTACTTTCAGCATGCTTCTCCCATCCTGGGAGGATCCTCCCAACACCCTTTATTTGGTGCTCCCTTCTCTCTCTGAAATGCCCTTTCCCCTAGAATGCCCGGCTGGCCTCTAAGCTATGGAGTAATCCTCCTGGTGTTGATCTCAGCTATTCTTGGGTATTAATCTCCTATTTTGTTACTTTATATCCCCCAGATGAATGCAATCTTTCTATGTCTATCCCTCTCTTTCTGACTCATTTCGCTTAGCATGATACTTTCCATGTAGTACCACTTGTATGTAAATTTCATGACTTCATCTTTTCTAACAGCTACATAGTACTCCATTGTGTAGATGTACCAAAGTTTCTTTAACCAGTCATCTGTTCTCGGGCACTCACGTTTTTTCCAGATTCTGGCTATTGTAAAGAGTGCTGCAACGAACAAACAAGGGATAGAGCACATTTTAAATGATTTGTTCGTTTGGTCGTTCGAGGGGCCACACTGGCGGTGCCCAGGGCCTACTCCTGGTTCTGCATCCAGGGCTCACTCCTGAGGCCCCGGCATATTTTTATTTTATTTATTTATTTATTTTTTTGCTTTTTTGGGTCACACCCAAAGCGATGCTCAGGGGTTACTCCTGGCTCTGCACTCAGGAATTACTCCTGGAGGTGCTCAGGAGACCCTATGGGATGCTGGGAATCGAAACTGGGTTGGCCGCGTGCAAGGCAAATGCCCTACCCACTGTGCTATCGCTCCAGCCCCCATATTTTTATTTTTATGAACGCAGTTCTTCAGCTGTGTCTCAGGGTCCCGGGGCTTGCATGTTGCATAATGCCAGCGGGTAGTAGATTTGTACTCCTCAACTCAGGATGAAGACACTGCGTATGATCTAAGGTTCTTGGTCTTGATCCGAAGCATTTAATTAGGTCTCTGCTCATCTGAAGCGCTCCGAGTCGCTTTTATGAGTTTCTCCTTCTAACTTCCCTGTGAGAAGCCCATTTTATTACCCTCCGTTTATTTCAGTATCATCAAGAGGTCAGGCAGATTTTAGATTTGATTTTTCCTGGAGTCAATTAAGATTCCTTTTCTTATCCTGGACTCTAACCTGGATCCCCTGGCTGCTCCGGCCACATGTGTCCCGGAGGAAAGCAATTAGGGAACAAAGCCGCCTTTTGGAAGCGCCTCAAAGCGACTGTGGTTTTTCCCGATGCTGTTGCCCTAAGAAGAATCAGATGGAAACTAATTAATAAAACACAAGCCCTGAAATATATAAAGATCAGGCAGCTGTTTGATGAAAAACAAAAAACTATGTCTGGGTTTTTTCTCCCTCTAGCTGAGCATTCATGGGAATTTTCTGTGCTTTTCTGCAACAACTTTTCTTGTGCTTGCTGAGGGGGAAGGTGGGCTGGGAGCAGGTGACCCCAGAGGCTCTCTGGCTGGCTGGACAGCCCTGAAGATTCGACTCCTCTGCTGGATGGGCCTTTTATGTCTGCTTGCTTTGCTGAATTTTTAGAATTTCCTTTCTCCTACCATCTTTCTGGTCGGACTGCCCTAAGCAGATCAGTCAGACAGTAATTCTGGAATTGGCTGGAAGGTACTGAGAAGTAGCCCGAACAGGCCTGGTAGACACTCAGAAGCACTCATCATTGGTGCGTGTGCGTCTGGGCACCGTGACTGAGTCCCTGAGCTCGGACTGACGAGGAGACCCGTGGCTGGTTGTATTTTTTTTTTAATTTTTTTTTCATTTTTTATCATTTTATTTATTGAATCACCGTGAGGGCAGTTACAAAGCTTTCGGGTTTAAGTCTCGGTCATACAATGAAACACCCATCCCTTCACCAGTGCCCATTCTCCACCACCAAAAACCCCAGTGTACCCCCATCCCACACCATCCCACTACCTGTGGGGCAGATGATCTCCACATTACTCTCTCTCTCTACTTTGATCACATTCACTATTTTGACACCAGACCCACCATTATTATTTGAGATTTTACCCCAACACTCAGATCTGCCGAAATGGCAACAGTAGATAATTTGTTTTCTATTTCTGGTTATGAATAACATATGATGTCGCGTGGCTGCAGTAGTGGCTGTACGATTTTGAAATTTTGAAATTTTTTTTTTTTGTGAAACACCATGAGGTACAGTTGTAGACTTACAAGTTGTGCTTGGGTTTCAGTTATACAATGATCGAGTACACATCGCACCACTGGTGCCCATTCTCCACCCCCACCAATCCCAGTATCCCTCCCACCCCCATCCCCCATCCCACCCTGCCTCTGTGGCAGGGGACTCCCTTTTGTTCTCTCCTTTTGGGTGCTGTGGTTTGCAGAAGAGGCATTGGGTGGCAATCATGTTCGGTCCATAGGGCTTAGAGGCCAGTCGCACACTCCAGGGGTAAAGTCAAAAAAAATTTTTTTTAAAACACCATGATGTACAGAGACTATAAAACCCAGCTCCCGGAAGCACACGGCCACATTTACGGCTGCGCGACATCTTATTATCTCGTTCTTGCTTTGGACAAACTTGCAGGCTATCGAATGTAGCCTGCCCACAGGGCAGAGTCTGGCAAACTCCCCGTGGCGTACCCAATATGCCAAATACCAGTAACAATGATGGGTCTCATTCTTCTAACCCTGATAGAGCCTTGAATATGGCACTTATTTAAAAAATCTCAGGGCTAGCACGAAGGAGACGTTACTGGGGCCTGCTCGAGGCAATCGACAGACAACAGGATGGTCGTGATCGTGATCATGATGTACAAAGTTATTAGTGGTTGAGTTTTAGGCGTATAATACTTCAACACCCATCCCACCACCAGTGTCAATTTCCCTCCACCATTGACCCATATTCCAGCCCCCTGCCCACCCCCCTCTCCCCTCCCCTCCCCCCCAACCATCCACCTTGCAGGCACGTTGCAGAGTTGGGTGGTCGCAGCTTGGCGCTCATGTTTTCATTGCAGTTGAGTCTGTGTGTGGGTGCATGGCTGTGCCGCTCTCTCACAACCCCGCATAACTGAGCCCCAACCCCTGTTCCCCCGTTACTTCCCTTTCTCGCTTCCTCCCCCCCCCCCCCCCGCCCGGATTTCCTTCCTTCTCGGTCCTTCTCCCTGCATGCTGACGACATCCTGTTTCCGTAGCCAGTCCCCTGTACCACGGGCAAGTGAGATCACGCCGTGTGTCTCTCTCCTTCTGGCTCACTCCGCTCAACACGATTATCTTCCAATTCAAACCAGGTCGCAGCAAATTGCGTGATGTGATGGTTCCTTGCAGCTGGCGAGTGGAATGTGCTATTTTGTGAGCAGAATAATTCAACACAGGCAGGCGTTTCGGACAGAGTCTTGCTTCCTTGAGCTCTCTGGGGCCTCCACCATTTTCTCTCTCCCCAGGGGCAGCTTGTGCTGGAGACTCAGGAGGATGTTGAACTTTGGCCTCTGCCCCCCCTCCCTCACAGGACAGAACCAACACAACCCCATGTGCCAAGGACATGCAGATTCCACCTTCCTGGACTCCCCACGCTAGGCACATGCAGACACACACATCATGCACACGCACACACATGCACACACACTTGTGCACACCACACACACGCAAAAGCACACACACGCACATCATTACATGCACACACATACACACATGCACATACATGCACACACACGCACACACAAGCACACACTTGTGTGCACGTCACACACGTGCAAAAGCACACGCACATCATTACATGCACACACATACACTTGTGCACATCACACACACGTAAAAGCACACACACGCACATCACGCACACGCACACACACGCACAGAAATGCACACATACGTACACATGCAGGTACACGCTGAACAGGCACACACATTCACGCACATCACACACATGCACACACATGTGTGTACAAACACACCACAGCCAGACATGCACACATATGCACACATGCATGCACACACGCACGCGTACACCACACACACGCACACACATGCATGTACAAACACGCCACATCCACAGACATGCACACAAGTGCACACACACCTGCACACAGCCTGAGGCCGCCCCATGCACTCACCTGCTGTCTCCCTGGGTTCAGAGGGGCACCCGGGCACCTCACCCTCTCCCAGAACCCCCGACCGGGTCTCTCCTCCCTTTCCTGGCCCCTTGTAGGGCGCAGGCTCCCCCTCACTCACTCAGCTCATCACTGCAAGGGCTAAAGGGAACGTCTGTGAGCCGCCCACGGAGGCTTCTGCCAAGCACCCGGCCGGCTGGGGATGCAGAGCAGGACGTGCCCGAGCGGGTGGGTCTGAGCCTTCCCTGGTCCCGTCGCTTTTCCACACGCTTCCGATCAGCCTGCACCTACCTCGGGGGTGGGGTCTTGCCTCCAGGGCCTTGGGGCTGCAGCCCGCATCTCCGCTCCCCTCACCCCCTCACCGCACCACTGCCTCTTCTAACTGCCTTACGGGCCGGCAGCCTCGAGTCCAGACCAGCACAAACCCCCCCTTTCACTGCCGACTCCAGGGAGTAGAAATTCTGTCTCATTGAGCTCTGGGTCAAATTTGTTCTAGAACTTTCTAAGAGTGAAGTTCAGCTGGCACGACCTCACTGGCAGATAGAACAGGGACTTTTGAACAGACTTGTGACGTGTCTACCCCTACTGGCTTGACCAGGTCCGGTATTGTTTGGTGTCTAGGGTCATGTGTGACTTCTGTTGCGTATCCGGCGTATGCCGAAGGCTCGGACAAGGACACCTGAGGGACAGCGACCCTTTCTCGTCCTGTCAGAGGGTGAGCAAGAGCTCGGCAGGAGCAAAGCAACTCCAGGGGCCGACCCTGGGCTGGACACAGCCGCGTGGCCAGAGAGAGGCTGACTGGAGTGAGTGTCGCTGGGGCAGATAAAAGCGTTGGCTCAGAGGCCGGGGAGGTCGGGTGCGGCTCAGGGCCAGCGTGGAAGGAACTTTCATGGGGGGCCACGAGGCCTTGGAAAGGAGCAAAGTGGGGGAAGAGGTGAATTGACGAGAACGTGAGGTGGGACCCTATGTGTTCCGTATTTTATTCTATTCATTTATTTATTTTATTTTTTGCTTTTTGGGTCACACTCAGCGATACTCAGGGGTTATTCCTGGCTCTGCACTCAGGAATTACTCCTGGCGGTGCTTGGGGGACCATATGGGATGCCGGGGATCGAACCCAGGTCGGCCGCGTGCAAGGCAAACGCCCTACCGCTGTGCTATCGTTCCAGCCCCCTGTTCCGTATTTTAGAACCTGACCCCTCCATCCGTGCTTAGGCAGAAAAAGCTGGCGGGCCCACCTTCAGCTGTTTTGTCTTGTTCTGGGGAGAAAGGGATCTGAAAGCCTTGACAAAAACAATATTATTATCGATTATTGGAATAAAAGAGGAGAGAGAGAAGCAAGCGTCTTATCATTACCGAGCAAAAACAGAATTTACCAGATTTCATGCATTTGCTACATTAAGGAAGTGTTGACCCTCTTTTTTGTTTTCTTTTTACATATGGGATTAATAAAACACCAGTATTAAATTATTAGGCAGTACAATATTTACGGGCTGGAGTGATAGCATAGCGGGTAGGGCGTTTGCCTTGCACACGGCCAACCCGGGTTTGATTCCTCCACCCCTCTCGGAGAGCCTGGCAAGCTACCCAGAGTATTCCACCTATATGGCAAAGCCTGGCAAGCTCCCCCGGACGTATTCGATATACCAAAAACAATAAGAAGTCTCACAATGGAGATGTTACTGGTGCCCACTCAAGCAAATGGATGAACAATGGGAGGACAGTGTTACAGCACTACAATATTTACACAAAAGATGTTGATTGCATTCTCTGGAGTCTGGCCTTGATTCTCCCCTGGTGCAGGGGAAAAAGCTTTGTCCTACCAGATTTGAATGAATTCCTTATTCAAAGACTCATTTTTTTCCCCAATGATTAATTCGAATACTTTAGACATTCTGAGATTCTTCGGAACCGTGTCATTTCTAATGGCTGCTGTGTCTGGAAGAAAATTCTGAGATTCACAGCCGTAAGCCAGAGACCTAGGTTGGCCGCCCCCCAGGGCCAGAGAAGAGAAACGAATGTGGTTTTCAAAACACTCCCAGCTACGTTCTTACTTAAGCTTCTTATTGGCCTGTGTGGAGGGAAAATATTACTGTCCCTGCATGACGGAGGAAGAACTTCGAAGCCCAGGAAGTAGAGGAACAGGGGAAAGGAGCAGTAACGTCCCGGCGTGGGAGAAGTCCAGCCACTGACCTTTTCCTCCTAGTAGAATCCGTTGCTCTTGTGGCCTGGCCTCTGCGTCATCACTGTGCTATGCGCTTCTTTCCCACAGGCCCAGCTGTTTTCTGGCTGCCCCCAATGGACCCCCAGGACTCCCCGAAGGAAGCGGTCCTCATTACAGGAGGAGGTGGCTATTTCGGTTTTCGGTCAGTGGATCTACCAACTATGTTGATATTTTGGTGATTGTTTCTAGAAATTGGGAGTTTCAACTTCGACATCCGGGGCTGGAGCAATAGCACAGCGGGTAGGGCGTTTGCCTTGCACGCGGCCAACCCGGGTTTGATTCCCAGCACCCCATAGGGTCCCCCAAGCAGCGCCAGGAGTAATTCCTGAGTGCATGAGCCAGGAGGAACCCCTGAGCATCACTGGGTGTGACACAAAAAGCAAAAAAATAAATAAATAAATAAAACAATCAACTTTGACATCCATCCAGGGTTGACTTTTGCTTGTTTGTGTGGTGTTAACCCTGGAAGAAGGCTCAGGTATTGAACACCCTCGTATTCCATATCCTCTGCCTGGATGTTGAAATTGAGATCTGTGGATATATTCCACCTCGAGAGAAATTCTTTACAAGGCCATTCCACTGGGGAGGGGGGTTAGGGGACCAGAAAGGTGTTCTTGGGTATTCTTCCCAAGTGACCATGCCAGAATATTCTAGAACATCCACGCCGGGCACTAGGACAGTGTGATACGTAGATACCTCTGTCTTTCAGGCTCAAGCCGCTATGACCAAGTACATGTGAGAACTCTCATCTTTGGGTTATTTGCACGAGTGAGATTTGAACCAATGGGTGTGTAAAGTCAGAGGGCGGGACCCCGAGTCAGCCCCACAGTGGGCGTCTGGCGCATGTTGGCTCTGTTGGGCTTGGCGGGTGCTGCTCTAACCGTGCCCTTTGCCACCCCAGCCTGGGCTGTGCTCTGAAGCAGATGGGCATCCCGGTGATTCTCTTTGACATCTGCAGCCCCCCTGCCCCGCTCCTGGAGGGAGTCGAGTTTGTCCAGGGGGACATTCGCCGTCTCTCTGACGTCGAGGCAGCCTTTGGGGACCGCGGTATCAGCTGTGTCTTCCATGCCGCCTCCTACGGGATGTCAGGCCGTGAGCAGCTGAACCCAAAGCTGATCGAGGACGTGAACGTGGCCGGCACTGACAACGTCCTCCGGGCCTGTCGGCGACATGGGGTGCCCAGGCTGGTCTACACCAGCACTTTCAATGTCGTCTTCGGCGGCCAGGTGATCAGGAACGGCGACGAGTCCCTCCCTTACCTCCCTCTTCACCTCCACCCCGACCACTACTCGCGGACCAAGTCGGTGGCCGAGAGGAAGGTGCTGGCAGCCAACGGGGAGACTCTGAGGACCTGCGCCCTGCGCCCGGCGGGCATCTACGGCCCCGGGGAGCAGCGACACCTCCCCAGAATCGTGAGCTACCTCGAGAGGGGCCTGTTCAGGTTCGTGTACGGGGACCCCGAGAGCCTGGTTGAGTTTGTCCACGTGGACAACCTGGTGCGAGCCCACATCCTGGCCGCCGAGGCCCTGACTGACCGCAAGGGCCACGTCGCCGCCGGCCAGGCCTACTTCATCTCCGACGGCCGCCCCGTCAACAACTTCGAGTTCTTCCGGCCGCTGGTGGAAGGACTGGGCTACCCGTTCCCGTCCGTGCGCCTGCCTCTGGCCCTGGTCTACGGCCTGGCCGTCCTCACCGAGTGGGCCCACTCCACCCTGGGTGGGCTCTATAACTTCCAGCCCTTCCTCACCTGCACGGAGGTCTACAAAACCGGCGTCACACATTACTTCAGCCTGGAGAAGGCCAGGAAGGAGCTGGGCTACGAGGCGCAGCCGCGTGACCTCCAGGACGTGGTGGCCTGGTTCCGAGTCCGCGGTCACGGCCGGAGTCCAGGGGACGGGGCTGAGGAGTGTGTCTGCCACTGGCTGCTGCTTCTCCTCCTTCTGCTGGTGGCGGGCCTCGCCTGCCTCCTCCTGTGAGGCTGGCACCGTGGAGAGAGGGCCACGAGGGCCGAGCTGACGCCCTTGCTGAGACGGCCTTCAAGAGAAACGGTTTTTGCAGTATTTTTTTACGATGCATAGATACATATGCCGATAGAATGATATCTGGTGCTCAATTTTGACTCCTCCAGTTGCTACCTTGGGAAACCAAGTTCATGAATGTCACACTGCGTAAACACGTTACTTTAACTCTAACGACACATTTTTAAAATCACAAATTGAGGGGCTGGAGTGATAGCACAGCGGGTAGGGCGCTTGCCTTGCACGAGGCCGACCTGGGTTGGCTGACCTGGGTTCGAGTCCCGGCATCCCCTATGGTCCCCCAAGCACCGCCAGGAGTAATTCCTGAGTGCAGAACCAGGAGTAACCCCTGAGCATCGCTGGGTGTGACCCAAAAAGAAAAAAAAAACACAAATTGACTCTGATTGATCTAATTTTGTTTCTTTGTCTTATTGAATCACTGTGAGATTCAATAATAAATATGATTGTTCATAATTAGGTTTCAGTCATATGATGTTTCAACACCCGCCCCTTCATCAGTGTACATTTCCCACCACCAATGTCCTCAGTTTCCCTCCCCCATGCCCCCACTGCTCTGCCCCCTCCCCACTTTCCTTCTTTCTCTCTTTCTCTTGCTCTCTCTTTCCTTCTGGGCATTATGGTCTGCAATATAGGTACCGGCAGGTTATCGAGGATCGAACAACACTTTTTGCTTAATTGGTTTTGGTTGGTTTTTATTTGCCATGCTCAGGGGTTACTCCTGGCTCATGCACTCAGGAATTACGCCTGGAGATGCTCAGGGGACCATACAGGATGCCGAGGATCGAACCCAGGTCAGCTGCATGCAGTGTAAATGCCCTGCCCACTCTGCTATTGCTCCAGTGCCTCTAATAACACCTTTAAAAGAATAAACTAATGCTAAGAAGAGAAAGAATCAATTCTTGGATTAAACCTGTTTAATTTTATTAATTTTATTTCTTAGCTCCTTGCATTGATCGTAGGAAAAAGAGAAGCAAAGAAATTTAAAACTTGATTTCTTGTGTCCTGCTTTAGAAGGATGCAGGAGAAATCGTGCTGGTTCCAAAGAGCTCAGTTTAAGTGGGAAATGTCTCCTTGAATTTCCCAAAAGCCAAGCCAGGGCACCCCTTTTGTTTCTTTTGTCTTCCAGGAACGTTTATTGAGACAGCATGATTGTTCAGAATAGAGTTGTTTCCAGGCCCTTCTGTTCTATAGCTCACACATGGCTTCCCAACATTCTTTTTTTTTTTTTTTGCTTTTTTTAGGTCACATGCGGGAATGCACAGGGGTTACTCCTGGCGGTGCTCAGGGGACCATATGGGATGCTGGGAATCGAACCTGGGTCGGCCACGTGCAAGGCAAACGCCCTACCCGCTGTGCTATCTCTCCAGCCCCCGGCTTCCCAACATTCTGGCCCCATATTTTATATAACAGTGGCTCTCAAAGCCCGTGGCACCCGAGTCTGGGGCACAAGAGACTTGAGTGATTCACTTCATATCTGCGCAAAAAGAAATTGCCTCTGGACACAGTGCTCAGAAGGTATCCCCAGGGCTCAGCGGCCCGCAACTGTCTTTCAATTGCTTTCACCACAGACGGACAGAACGACACACTCTAGCCTCGAAACAAAGAGAAAAACACCACAACTGGGTCAGGGTCCCACAGACAGTCCTTGAGGGGAAAAGTGCGGAATTAGCAATTGCAGCCTGAGTTCTAGAAACTAGTTTTCATCCTTTGTGGCACAAGGGCATAAGGACATGATACCAGCTTGCCCCCCCCCCCCCCCCCCCCCGTCCACCCCGGGGACTCGCATGGCAATGTTTGATGTTTAAACAGACAGAACTTTCTCTTGCAGAATGCCTTAGAGGCTCAAGTTAGCCACCACGGATAAAGTGTCACTCAACACACGCAAGCTATTATTTTTATTACTAGATTTACTAGATTTCCTAGTGAGAGTATTTTTACACATGGTGTTCTATTTAAAAGGAGCTGTTGCTGCCAAAGTTTTTGGAATGTCTCTATGCTGTGACCTCAAAGCCAGTAATAAGCGCTGGAATGTACTCGGTTTATAAAATTTCTGTCTCAGAGGAGGGGTTGAAGTTCAAGAAACAGCTAAGGGTCTGATGGTGAAAACAGATGGTCAACAAGGAGGTCATTTGTAATTAAGAAAATGACGCCGTTCTGTGAGATGGTTTTCTTCCAGGAAGAATCTTGGTTCTTGGAAGGCAGAGTTCAGTGAGGAATATTCTAGACAATGGCAGCATTGGCTCACCACCAGAGTGACAGCTGGGACTGGCACCCAGTTGTACTGTGACCTAGGGACCAGGGTGGACGGGAGACAAAGGGAGCGGCCCAGGCGTCCAGCCCCAGAGGGGCATCTTGAACATGGATGGAAGCTGGATTTTCATGGGGAGTCAGGTCACTGCTGTTCAGAGAACACTGTCCTTGGGAGGCTGCTGGGTAGATGGTCCTTGGTGAACGGCTCCTGGAGGTTTCAGGAAAAGTGTCCAGTGGATACCAGAGAGCTGCCACCATGGCTAGTCCCTGTGACCTTCACTTTGCTGATACCTTTGCAGGCCTTGCTGTCCTCGCTTGGGAAATAGAAGTGACTAGATTTGTCATTTCTGTCAACCCGCCTAAACCAGCTCACGGGTTTACTTGTAAGCATAAAATAAGATGTCTTTTCTGAAAGTCCATCAGAGGGCTGGAGCGATAGCATAGCGGGTAGGGCGTTTGCCTTGCACGCGACTGACCCAGGTTCAATTCCCAGCATCCCACATGGTCCCCCGAGCACCGCCAGGAGTAATTCCTGAGCGCAAAGCCAGGAGTAACCACTGAGCATCACCAGGTATGACCCAAAAAGCAAAAAAAGAAAAAAGAAAGTCCATCAGAAAAGTAAATTTCAGCATAAATAGGAGGTGGGGGTAGCAATTCTTCTGGGTAAACTCTCTGGGGGTCCTTTATATCGGCAGAAGCTTTGGTTTGGGTGGTCCAAGATTGACTTGGGGTCCAGCGAGATAGTATAGCAGGGAGGCCACGTGCCTTGTATGTGGCCCTTCAGGGCTCGAGCAAGGGTTCAACACCACAAAGGGATCCCTGAGCTTCACCAGGAGGGATCCCTGAGCACAGAGCCAAGAGGAAGCCCTGAGCACCGCCGGGCGAGGCCCCAAACTAACACCAAGCCCAGGTGGGTTATGATGGTGTGAGTATGAAAGTGAGGAGCACTTCTCAGGATTCTTCCTGCAAACGTGCCAGGCGCTGAAGGTTTTATTTCTGCTCTCCACAATCAGAACCCTAAAACGAGGGACTGGAGTGATGGTACAACAGGGAGGGCGCTTTCCTTGCGTGAGGCTGACCCGGGTTCAATCCCTGCACCCCATATGATCCCTCAAGCCTGCCAGTGTGATCCCTGTGCTAGGTGTAAGCACCTGGGCGTGACCCGGACACCAAGAGGAGAAAAAAAAAAGACATCTGTCCCCCTGAAACTCGGGGTCAGCATCTGCCTTACTCACCATCACCGTGAGAAGCATCCACAGACACAGGTCAGTGTTGGGGAAAGGTTTTAACCCCCAACGTGCCCAGGATATGTCACGCACCGGGTCCGGGCAGAAGTGGGATGAAGGCGTGGGACGGGCGTGCAGAGAAATCACTCCGGGAGACAGAGGGTGGCTGCTCGCTTTATTGCCAAATACACACATATTCTATGGAGGGTCTCGGCCGAAGGGGATGATCCAATCACATGAAGTTCAGCATTATTGGCCTATCACCTTTGCGACTCTGCTTTGCCCCAGTTCAATCCCCATTAGGCCTAGATGCTGCAGTTAAAGGACAATTCTTATGAAGGTGTTGGGAGGATCCTCCCAGGATGGGAGAAGCATGCGGAAAGTAGACTCTAGACCGAACATGATCACCACTCAATGCCTCTTTTGCAGACCACAGCACCCAATAAGAGAGAGAGAACAAAAGGGAATGCCCTGCCACAGAGGCAGGGTGGGATGGGGGAATGGGGGGTGGGAGGGATATTGGGATCCATGGTGGTGGGAAATGGGCACCAGTGGAGGGATGGGTATTTGATCATTGTATAATTGAAACCCAAGCACAAAAATGTGTAAGTCTGCAACTGTACCTCACAATGCCTCACTATTAAAAAAAAATTTAATAAAAAAATAACTACAAAAAAAATAAATAAATGACAATTCTTAGGGGGGGTTAGGTGAGACTCAAGGCCAGATACCTGGTACTTGTCAGATGTACCAAGACACTCCGTACTGGATCTCTATGCAGAGACAGATCTTATCTGATCTGGTACCTATTGCCAAGCTCCACAGGTCAGGACACAGCTGCTCATGCCCTCTAGACAGCTGCCCACCACCCCCCAGACACCAGCCCATCCCCCAGACACCTGCCCACCCTCAGGAAGCTCATGCCCACTTCACACCTCACATGCTTCAGGACTTGTTCTTGTATCGATACCCTGGTGTGGCACAGCGAATTGCCCTGAGACAAAAACGCCAGCCACATCCTGTCTTGTGAGTCAAGGGTCCGAGTGTGGCTTACCTGGGGCTCTCACTAGGGTCACTCACTCGGTCAGCGGGCCCCACCCACCATCATCTAGGGTGAAGCTGAAGGGGCCACTTCCGGGCCTCATGTGACCTGGGCGGAGGCTTTTGTGGCTCTTAGGTTGGCCAGGGGATAGGGCAGAGGTCATGGCAAGCCCCTGAACCAACCCCTTGCCCAGGCCCTGATGGTCCCTGCCTCAAACAAACAAAAAACAAACACTGTCCTCCTGTTGTTCGTCGATTTGCTCGAGCAGGCCCAGTAACGTCTCCATTTTGAGACTTGGTACTGTGTTTGGCATTGCCACGTGGGTGAGATAGCTTGCTGGGCTCTCCAAGAGGGGCAGTTGCCTCAGGGCAGAGCAACTTCCGCGTCCCCCAGCCTTAGCTTAGTTCTGTTTGGGGTGGGCACACCTGGAGGTGCTCAGGGCTTCCAGGGGTCACTCCCAGCAGGCTCAGGGGACCTTGTGGGGGGCTGGCGATAGAAGCTGGGCTGTCTGCGTGTCAGGCGTATGCCCACTGTGCGATCACTCCAGCCCCCTTCGCTCTCAGCTCTGAGCCTTTGCTGGCTTGGCAGAGCATCACTGGGAGCAGCCTGGGGTTCCCGGAGCACTTCCTGGGAGCCTCTCAGAGGAAGTGTTCAGAGGCGCATTAGCACTGCCCAGCACCCCTGGAAGCAGGGTCAGCTCTGGTCAGCACCAAAGGGCACTCCAATTCCCTCCTGTTCCCGTGATCCTGAGCTCCCAGAGCCTGCTGGGACCCTGGGCGTGAGCCCCCTCTAAAGACAAGCCAGAAACACGGCGGTCAATGCACGGCAGCATCGACAGCTATGGCCACGGCGTCACTGCATGCGTCACCCAGAATTGCCCTCGAAAGATGTACATCTCATAGATGCCGGGGCCGGAGAGATAGTGCAGAGGGCAGGTTCCTTGCCTTGCACACATCCCCCTGGGGCTCAGTCTCCTGCATCCCCTTTGGTCCCCGGAGCCTGGAGCCAGTCGTGATCCCTGAGTCCAGAGCCAGGAGAGAGCCCTGAGCACCACCGGGTGTGGCCCGAGGCTGCGTTCCTGAGGGCGCCCGGAGGCACAAGCACGGCTATATGCCCACCAGACCACCACCTGAAGCCCTGCTCACGAAGGAACACACATTCCTGAGGGGAGGCATCGGCCCGCACCGAAGGCGGGAATGCTGGGGTCCAGCTCCAGCAGAACCACCACGCAGAACCCAGGCTCCGCGCGGCCGGGAGTCTGAGCCCACATGTCCCTGCCTCCAACCGAGCCGTCGGGAGAGCTCACCTTCAGCCTTCAGCCCGCC